GGTCAGATGGTGCAGTTTTACCTGAGAAAAAGAAGATGCAATCGCTGAGACAAGGCTTTTCTTCATCTGACGTTTCGAAATCCGTCAGAGATTCTGCATAAGCATAAACAGTAGCCGCAGCAGTTTCTGCTGACATTTTTCCTGTTTGAGAGCCAACCAAATGAAGTGATCCATTTAATCTTAAATAAGTTGTCTCAGAGCAATAACCACGTGTACGCATCTGGCTTTGTGCCAACGGCGCAAGCCAGCATGCAAAAATCACCATTTGCCCCTTATCTTTTGCATTTGTCAGTTAGTTTTTCTGACGAATTCCTGTGTTACCTTGTAGGCCACTGCTGACCGCCTTGGGGGTCTCCAAGGAAAACTGGGAGCCTACATCGGAATTATCAGCGACAGCATGGATCCAAAGTTGGGAGGCATTAAGGAAAAGGAGGCAGCGCTTGCTGAGCTGATGCAAGTGCATGAGAAGATTAATGCCAGTATCCAGGAATTCCAGTCATTCGAGAGAATGTGCCGTCGTGAGGAGGAGGTATTTACTGCGTACATTGTTACCTGAACGATGGCTGTTTGTAGTGGCTGTTTAAGCGGAATCTTTTTTAAGTTGTAGTTGTTTTTCTATGTTTTTTAAATGTAGGTCCGTTGTTTCTGCTGTTATCTGGCGGGTCAAAATGGTAGTGAGTGATTCAATTCTCGCTCGATGAAATTCTAATGTAGCATAGTTAAAATGATGGGGATGATAAAATTGATATTTTAAGCGACGGCGCTCGGTGATGCAAGTTTCGCAACAGATCCACCAAGTACTCCATCACACATTGAAATCACAAAATCCGGAGGAGCTGGCCGCGCTGTGGGAAGATGTTCCATGAGTGAACGTCATGCATTCCTGTGGTTTTCGTTTTATTAAAGCATCGTGGTAATGAACGCGCAGGTGCCTCACGTAGCCACTGCTCCTTAATGTGCATCGGCAGCGTATATTCCCAGAAATGGCCTACTGCATTGCTAGATTGTATTCTTTCGTCTATTTCAGGCCTAGTCTTTTTGGAAAGCTTGAAACGTTTGGACCGTTGTTGATGATGTTATTTGGTAGGATAAATCATTTTGAGCTATTGGCGTCTGGATGAAGTTAGTCCGGTTGTGAAATCTTTGAAAAAATGAAGCGGTCGTGGAAGGTGTTCTGTGAATTGGAGTCATGCTACCTTTGGCGTTTTTTACCTATGAATGGTCTTACTCACCACAAGTTTAATGGTACCATTTTTGCGGTAGTTTTAGTGGACGCGGAGGTTTCTTACAAGGCCACTATGAGCCCTGAATGTACAGCGTAGAATTCTGGGACTAGTGGCCTCTTTCGTGGCTTCATTTGAAGCTACTGCAAATTTGCATTCTAGTTGTTTGTTCGCAGCCCACTGCATGCGGTCGGCTTCATAAATTACAGTTCTGCGTTTCACGAAAACTCATTATACTTGCTGATCACATGCGAGAGTTTCACGAGAATTCTGAGTGGCCCAAAGGCGTTTGCAACGTGGACTTCTAGAACTGGCCTTTTATTTTGTGGTTTCATTCCTCGCTACTACAAACTTGTTTATTATTGGCGTACTGTATGCGGTTGGCATCATAAATTACAGTAGTTCGTTTCGCGACAACTCACTGTACCTG